GGCTTTTAGAACAATGGAAGTTCTCTCACTGCTTTAGAACACAGCTACCTGGATTTTGGGTTCCTGGAGAGTTTTTTGTTTGTTTGTTTGTTTTTTCTTTTCCTTTCTCTCCGTAGTTCTGTTTCTTGCTTTCTGCTCCTCAAGAGAACTGTTAATCAGTGATCCACATTTTTGTTTCCTGTTAAACAACTACACTAAGATTATCCACTGGCAATGTTATATTTATGTTGCCTAGAACCACAATGAACCATTTACATATGTAACCACTGTTCTTATATTTAGTGTGTGCTTCGGAAATGCTTTACATGTATTAACCACTTTAGAGAAGGACTGTTTTTTCTCTTTACAGGTAAAGTATCTGACACACAGAGGTTAAGTAACTGGCCAAAGACATATCACTACTAAATGGCAGAACTGCGATATGAACCTGGCCATCATGTTAAACATTGTGATATGTAAGGCTTGACTCTCCAGTTTCACTTTTCTTGCTCTCAGTTAAATTTGATTCATTTAGCCTGAGGTTATACTGCACAGTATAACCAAAATGTTACATTGTTTGAAATGGTATCATTATTTGGAAGGATGAAGCGGGGATACATTTAAGGATTTCATACCAATGAGTAGTTTATTAGCTAGATTAATGAAACAAATAGGAACACAGGTTGTTATATGCTGCTTGGCAGCACAGCTTTTTATGATAAGAGTTCTTTTGAAGGGATTATATTTTGAAAAGGAATTTTTGGTTATTTATGGAAATTAGCAAATGGGGACTTGATAATGCCCTTTATCATAACCTTCTCTATGTTAGGTTAAGTACAGGCAGGTCTTTTCCCTTTCTCCATTGTGAGCTTCATGGGACAGATGCTATTTCTTGTTTATTTTTGCAGTCCACTTTGACACCTTATGCCTTACTCACATGGGCAAAAGATGCTAGATAAAAAAGAAAGAGCATGGACATTTGGCTTAGGGAGACCTGGGTTTGAATCCCAATTGCTTCCCTTGCTGGTAGGATCAGATATTGGAAAACTTCGACCCATAGACCAAGCCAGCCCCACTGCCTGTTTTTATAAATAACAGTGTTGTTGGCATACACCCACACCCAATAGTTTACATATTGTCCTATAATGGCAGAGTTGAGTACTTTGAATAACTCTATGGTTGTATAAAGTCTAAATTAGTAAATATCTAACCATTTACAGAGAAAGTTTGATGATTCATGGACTGGATGATTTTAGGCAAGATACTTATTTAATCTTAATCTTAGTTCCCTTATCTATGAAGTGGGATGTTAATTACATAATAAGTTTGTGTTAAGGAAGGGAAGGAAAGTATGTGAATTTTTTGGCATGGTTCCTGAAATGTATTAGGCCTTTCACATGTGGTTCTATTCTTATAATTTTTATTGTTGGTACACAATTTAATGAATCAACCTGAAGGACACTATCACTTCCTTACCTTCTCGTTAAATTCTTTCACTGAAGGATATGAAGATGAATGACACAGGTACATTTACTATGTTAGGTACAGTGCCTTTATATATATGTATCAGATATTGTATGGATTCTTAAGGAAACTCAAGCTGCTTTTCAGGGAAGCGTTACCCTATTAATTTTTAGTTATCAATTCTGTTCTCTGACAATAAAGTGCTGTTTAAAAAGAAAAGAAAGACTAGAAATACTCTTTATTTGATAGCACCCTCTACTGGGCTTTGAACGTAGGCATTTACTGAAGTCACAAATGAATGAATTTACAGGTTCATCTTTATGTTTTTACTTGATCAAGTAATTTGACCCTTTGAGGGACAGTGAGTCAAACAAATGATGTGACTTGACATGACTTTTATTCTTTCCTACTTAATTTTTAAACATCACAAGAATTGAACAGAATCCATGATATTCTATACATAACTTATGAGTGTACATGGTTGTGAATATTTTTGATCTTTACTAATAAGTAAGATTTTTCGAGTAAATCATGTCAAAAATAACTGCATGTCAAGTCAGTGAAGCCTGTGGCATCCTTTCTTTAGAGAACCCTGTTATGTGAAAATGGCTTTTGCAATTTTTTATTCCTTTGGTAATTTTCAAGATTTCCACTCTTCCCTGTTTTTCATGTTTTCATATTTATTGAGCAAATTCATATTGAGGTTGTACTCTCTATTGGATATCTTAATAGAGACAGAGCGATTAACCTGACAGATATTCTCATATTACTCACTAAGCTTACAGTTTAGTGGGGACAGCAGATAGACTTCAACCAATAGTTGCAAGAATAACGAGCTAGTAAAAGGGGAGGATCGACCAAAGGTGCCAGTGGGAATGTATGAGAGACAAGTAACTGAGCACAGGAATTAGGGGAGCCTTGTCTGAGGAAGTAACATTTAGGTTGAAGTGGCAAGAATGTGTTCAGGTTTAATAATGAAGAATGGAGAATAAAGGGTTTATGGCTGAAGGAGACTCATGGGAAGTTTCTGGAGTATCTAAGCACAGAGAGTAGTGCACAGTGGCTGGACGTGGCCAAGGCCTGATGATTTTGGCCCTTTGAGACCATATTAAGTAGTGAGAAGCATTGATACTCACTCTCCTGGGGTCCAGAGTGGTTGTGGGTGCCTGTTGCCATAGTTTAGGTCTAGTGAAGAATGCCAGGGAAATAGGCCGAAGTGATGGCAGTGGTGATGGGTAGAACGGGGTGGATTTGGAGGTGAAATTGACAGAACTCAATTGATTTTGTCTAGGATTTGAGGAACAATATGTCTTCTTGCATGAGCTAGAATGGATGCTTTGTGCCACTGATGGGAAACAGTGGGGTGTACAGGCTTGGGAAGAAGATGTGAGTTCAGTTTTGCAGAAGTGTTCAAGATGCCTGTGGAGCCCTCAGCCAGGTACCTCGGAAGCTAAGTGTGTGAGTCAGTGGCCTTAGAGAGTGGCTGGAATTGGGGTAGCAGATATGTGGAGAGAGAAGTGACAGGGCCTATTGCAGAAACCCCAGCGTTTGAGGAGAGTGAAAGAGAAGCCTGTTAACGGGAGCAAGGGTCAACTAGAGATGGCGGAGGACAATGAGGAGGGTAGGGCCATGGAAACCATGGGTAGAAATATTTCAGGAATGACCAACACTGTGGAATGAGGCTAAGAGGTCAGGTGAACAAGGACTTGGAATTGTCCCTTAGGTTTTGTGATTTGAAGAGGCCAGTGTTGATCCAGAAACAAGTTTCATATTGTGACACTTGTGGTGGGTGGGGGTCGTCTTAATGCCCTTTAAAATCTTGAGTCCACATATTCTATTTTAGAGGACTTTTCCTCCTATTGTATCACTGCTCTAGAACATGTATACCTTTTAGTGATCCTAGTCATGTGCTTTTAAGCAGCTTCCATGCTGCTGCACTGTATTTAACAATCCTAACGTGTCCCTTTAGGCTCCTTCTCACCAGTGGTTTCATTAATCAGACATGTAATTCTGTTAGTGTCTGAGCTTCGCACTATTCCTCTGCTGCATACCTACATTGACACTAACGTCTTCTTATGTACAATGAAAGCATTTGGCCTGGAGTTTTGTTTTCATTTTCTTATCCTCTTTCTCTCTCTCCACCCCGACCCACCCCATCTGTTTCTCTCCCTCTTTCTTTCTCTGTAGGAAGTGTGTTAAGTTACTGGAAAAATTCCTAAAATTGCAAACTCTTTGTGAAATGAATTACTGGAGTTCTCATTTTCAATTTTTGGATTTTGAAATTTTGTTTTCTTGGTGTGCTTCACCAAAGGCCTCTACAGAATAGCTTGTGGTATGGATAGAGAAAATTCTTTGTTGAGGTGTTATCTCCTTCAGCTGGGTATTTAATGGACTCAGACGAAGACATATAGGGCACCTTTTGCTACTCTGAACAGAAGAAGTTTCAAAGAGATATAGAGACTTGACAGACAAATAAAACCATTGAACCTTGTGGTTGTTAGCATTTTTTCCTGACTTAAAGAGTTAAACAGATATGTGGATTCTACCCAGTTGTTTTTGTGTTGTTTTTCTTAGAAAAATAAAAACCATGACATTTTATGTTTCATAATTAATGACAGGTCAGTTAGATGGATTTTTTGTAAAGCTAGGTAAAACTGTCCCAATTAGTAAAGGGACACCACCTTGAAGGACATGGAAAGGAAATTTTATATATAAATTTTGGTAAAAACAAACAATGTATAACGATTTTTATAAAAATGTATTAATTGAGAAAATTGGGAGGACAAGCTTGAAGTTGAAAATGAAAAAGTTACTTAGGTATTTAATAAAAAAAATTCTAGGTCAACAGAAGGCTATGCACTTCTGTTTAAGTGATAGTGATGACTAAGAAAGTATATCTATGTAGCAATGGGAGTCATCTCAAGGTGGAAAAGTATATGTCAAGCTAAGACACGTAAGAGTGCGGAAAAGATTAACTTATGTGCTTCATGATGCTGTTTGCTCGGGCTGGATAGCCTGGGTTGATCAGAACAGTTTTTCTAAAACCATTCACCCACAGAATAAGGCCCCAATGGTACTTTAGTGAAAAGAGCATCTTTTAAAAATAGCTTTTTGCTTATCCTACATCAGAGAGAAGCCTGCCCCAACTTCATTCTTTAGCCATCTTCTATCCATGAGTGTATTCCCAGAGCACAAGGGAACACAGTCGGATGTGTTTTCTGTGCTCTTGCATTCAAGTACATACCTTCACCTCTCCAGGCTACCGAGTTCTCTGTGTCATGGCTTTCCACCCACAATGGCAATTTTAAATGACACCAGGATCATGATGGCTCCCTCTGGGAGGCATATATACCCAGAATATTTTGAGATGTAGCCTTACCTCCCCGCCTTCTTTTTCCTTTCCCTTCTTGAACTTCTCAGAGGTAAGCCTTCATGTAATTCCTGATGATTTTAACTTTAAGATAAAAAAAATTAGAATTTCTGGGCCTATTTAGGTGAATGATAATGACTTTTGTTATATGGGTCTGATCATTGCATGGTATTTTCTTTTCCCCCAGGAATGCTGTCTCTGCAATTTGAGAGGCGGTGCTCTTAAGCAAACAAAGAACAATAAGTAAGTAATGTAGTTTATTGTGTTGAATGTCATTATGCTGCTTTCTCTTTTCTGTAACCTCTGGATGACAGTTTGCTTTGCCTCTCATTGTACACATTGTTGCAAAGCCTTTGTTTTTGCAGATCTGAGGTTGGGATTTTGTGCTTTAGAGACCACTACTGACAGCACCCTCACCTCTGCTGGGTGAGCATATTCCAAGTCTTGCTTCTGTCCTATGTGTTTGACACCAGGAAGAATAACCCCTCTTTTACTATCAGAATATAAAAAATTCCGGCAGCCCATATAGTCCGGGTGCTGTTAGAATCCTAATGTTTGATATGATGAATCCTACTCTCTGATAAAAACAGGGTATCACCGAATAAGTGGAACCGTTATCTTCAGGTAGATTAAATCAATCACAGTCGTGACATTAAAACAAAACCATTTACTTTTAACACCAGCAAATTAACAAGAATTTATATGTACTACATTAGAAAAGACAGGGAGATAACATCGGTATTAAGATTTAAAGGGGACATGTACAGAGTATGAAGAGTCTTGAGAGTGAGTCATAAGTGATCATGAAAGAAAGGTGGTCTGGTTTTTATAACTGCTTTGCATGAATTTTATTTTCATTTTCATGAGCAGGTTTTAATATTGATGGGGCCAAAACATATTCAGAGTGCTTGGGCACGGAGGCATGTAGAGATGGCTTGGGCAGAGTCTGCAAGCTCGCACTTAAGGGCCAGATCCAACTCCAAGATAGGTTTTGTTTGACCCACATACCATTTTATAAATTTGATCCAATGTTTAAAAATGTGGAGATTTTTCCATAAAAGTCTAGATTTTCATTTTCACTTGAAAAATGGTTGTGCATCTCTGTAAGGCAAAAGAAACCGGTGGGGATGAGAGCCTGGCCACGGTGGGCAGTGTCTCCCAGTCGCCATGATTTCCCAGCCCATGCGTGTTTGCTCACCTCATGCCCAGCCCCATGGCTGCTGGAGTTGGGACTCCTGGTGTCATGTAGTGATGAGGTTAGCATAGTTATGTGCATGTGTACACGTTTCTGATTGCTTAGAAGGAAGAGTAAAGGCATGTATCATTCCTACACTGATGAAGTTTAGTCTAAGGAACTTCAGTTTTGCCTAATTTTGTATCATCTCCTTTCACAGTCCTAATTGATATGATTGGTGCTATAGTAAAAAGTCTTCACTAGGTTTTGGATGTTACACAGGCCATTCAGACTGTGAGATGGTTTAGGTGGTTCCTGTAAAGACAGAGGTGATGAGAAGTTCTCTTCCTACCCCTGGGTGAGAACAAAAAGAAGTAGTGTTTCCTATAGCATGACCTTATTTATCTAGATATGGAAGAATGCCCTGGTGTGGTTGACACTTGTCCTCTCTTTCTGTGCTTTTGAAAGATGGGGTGGAGCCTGATGTTGTTTGAGTGAGATAAATATGCTTTGGCTTAAAAATAGGTTGATGGATGTTATCATTTTTTCAAGATGTCTTCAAACTTCATGAGTCTTTTTATTTATTTGGGATTATAACATTTATGAGACACTTAATAGGTTAATGGGGAAGTTGTCTTTTTTCAGAGTAATTCAGAATGTGAAAGGTGAAATTAGGTTTTAAGTTGGAAACCAGAGAACAAGCTAAATTTCATTTCTCCTTGTCTCCGGTTTCCTTTGATTATAGTAGGATTGCAGTGAGAAGCAATTTAATTAAAGGCTTAATCAGTATTAGTTCTTTTAGAAAACTTTTGCTAGTTGAACTAGTTTGCTTCACAACATTTGTATTATGTGAAAAGGTTATATGCTATACCTTTTATTAATTGAGCTAATATTTTGCCACATAGTGATTAGCTTAAATATATTAAGCATACAATGTATCTCAATATCAAATGAAATAGGGAACCTACATTTCAGTATTTTGCAGATCATTTGTAGCACAATATATGCATGTAAATAGGTTTGAGTCGTTGGGCTTTACTAGTCCTTCATGTCACAGTGATGGGCAGGTGTGGAACTGGCTCTGGGCAGGCATCATCCAGGAGGTTTAAAATTCAGAATCTGTTCGTGATAGATTCAGTCTTTTGGCTTTCTTTCCCAAGTGTGTGTTTCCCATCTGTGAGAGTCATCATCAACAGGTGGAAGTACGAAGGTATCTTAGGGAACTTTTGTTTATGTTTAATGTCTCCTTTCCTGTAGGTGGGCCCATGTCATGTGCGCTGTTGCGGTCCCAGAAGTTCGGTTCACTAATGTCCCACAAAGGACACAAATAGATGTAGGCAGAATACCTTTACAGAGGTTAAAATTGGTGAGTGGCAAAGCTTCTTTTTTACCTCATAAATTAGTATAATTTCAAGTTCTGAATTTTTCTATTAATGCACACATTCCCAACATAATTTTTCTCCTAGCTTCATTTAATTATTTTACCCTTATTTTCCTTTCTCCCAAGTTTATTTATCATTACAAATTCTTTTCCTATTATATTGTAAATATGCATATAAACTTCCTCAAATTCTGTTTGAAATCAGGGAAAGGATTAATGCACTTCCTGGATTAACATGAACTTTTAAACTATAGGATAACTGGTGAGATTTGTTAGTAATGGGCCTGAGCTGTCCAACTATTTAAAGTGATTAGTTTTTTCTCTCTTATCCCTCTCTTTGGTTGGTCTTGACTTAGCAAAATGTATCTAACCCAATTTTATCATCTCTTCACCAAGAAGTGACTCGCAGAGAAATACAAAAGCTTTTATGATTACAAAGGAATTTTCTTACTCATGAGTAGATACAAATCTCTTAATATGCCAAATTCTGTGGCCGATTTTCTTCTGACTTGTTTAGAAACTTTCTTGAAAATCTTCCTACTGGTTTCCCTTGTTAAGAATATTTTTCATTGAAAATATAGGCCTTCACTGTTCTTAACACCCAATTAACTTTGAAGTTCTGTTCAGTGGTGAACCAGCAGATCATTAGTTTAGGCCCTCATATTGCATATCTGATGAGAATTCCCTAGAGTTAAACTGCATTACCTCAGTGTACTGGAGTGTGCTGTATCGGTGGGCTTAGGACACTAGAGTTTCTTCAGTTCTTGTTATTTTTAACTTACAGTCTTTCCACGATGGAACATTTCAGACACTGTTACTGTAACTCTCTCTCCCTGGCTGTTGCTTGTTTTCTTACTACTCTCTTCCCCAGAGGTGAGCTTTGAATGCTATCTCTGAGCCTCTCTCAGGAACTCAGAATTTAGTGGAGTGTCTTTTGTTCTCAGAGAAGTGAAGTGAACACTGTTATTTCCCGTCATCGCTCCATCAGGAGTTTCACTTTGCTGGAAACAAATGTGGCCATATCATGGAACTGATCATTGCTGTTGGCTGCTGAGTGGTGGGCCCAGGATGCTCAGAATGTGGCAGAGTTGGAAATGAATGTACCATTTAAATGGCCCTCTAAGGGTGACAGTGACTATCAGATGAGGTGAGAAAAGAGTATAATTCTTCAGCTCATGGACTTCCATAGGAAAGCTTGAAATTTTATATGCAGGTCACCAATTAAAAAAAAAAAGGACACCAAAAAACAAATAAAATGTTTACAAGAGTTAGGACTACAGAGCAGTATACTCAAAAAAGATGTTGAATCACCATGTGTTAAAGGATTTGATGTCTAGTGTGACAAATATTAACAAATGTTTTAATTTTTTTATGATTATAAAAGTAATATGTCTTCTTTTAAAATTCAAACACAACATGTTAAAATCACCTTTGGCGCTCTCTCACGAAGGCTGTCGTTTGTAACCAGTGTGATGCCCTTTGGAAGGAGCGGTCACTGCTCTGAAGTTTCCCTTTAAGGGCGTATATCCTGGCTACTTTAATCCATGAATACTTTCTTAATGATTTAATATTACCCATACCAGTCCAAAAGGTTTTTGGGAGAATAGCAGGGAAGGACAGCATGGGTTATTTCAACCTTATATTCAGAGTGTTACATCTAGAAATCTGATTATTGCATCTGAAAATGGTGAAGTTTATCATTTTCTTCACAATGCTGTGCTTCATCTTGATTGTGCATATTATTTATGGAATGTTTTCCATCATTAAATGATTGGTACCTTTAAAAGAAAGTCATGACTGAATTTAAGATCATCTAAAGTCTACTCAAATAACAATGTAGAGCTATGCTCACAGACAGATGCACGTCTGTGATACATATTGGGTGAAAATACATAATCAGACCAGATTGAAAATGGAAGTGGACATGTTGTTCATCTCCGTCCTATAATTTTATAGCATGGAGATTTTCTTGGAATTACATTTATCAAAATGCTCATGGTGGTTATCTTTAGCAGATAATATGTGGAAAAACTTCATTTTGGGGGAAAAAAATCTCTCTAAAATGCTGTAATAGTTGGAAAGGGGGAAATGATCAGAAGTCTGGATGACTTTTTCACCAAGAATCCTCAGGAAAGAGCCATCACCCTGTTGTATCTACTGCAGTGCAGCATCTGTGCTCCTGTGTTAACCAGTGTCCCTTGATGATTGGACTCAGAGAGGCTGGTTTTGAATAACAAAATGTACAAACAGGTTACTGTGTTGGGGGGTGGAATGCACCTTTTCATGGAATGGAATGCTGCACCTTATACAGAGGATCAAGGGTATACTTTCCTGACATTAGCATTCTTTTGTGGTTTAAGTTATAATATAAATGCATGGCTAGCAAGAAACCAGAGCAGTAGTTTTTTGTGGTATTTTGTCCAGGCCAAAATAAGTCCAGGAAAGTTATTTTACTGTGCCGATTTAATGAACATATATGTGTCTGCTAGCATCAGTTTCAGTCTTTTTCTGGAGCTGTAGGGATCCCTTTTCTGGACTCTAGACTGTCCACCCACCTTCCTATTCACACAGATGGGGAATAATAAAAGTTATTTAGATGTCAGAGTCAATTTATTTTACCAAACAATTATTATCTATTTTGACAAACATTATACAGTTTTGAATAAAACCTTGTTCCTGTCCTCTAGC